TAAACCACACGTACACACACACACACGCGCACGGGCACACGCACACACACACACACACACACACACACAAACACACACACACACACACACACACGTACACATGCACACGCGCACGCGCAGACGCACACACACGGCAATCAGCAGAGCGTCCCCTTGCGCAATCATGCGTGTACGTGTCGCAAGATCTCTGTGTGAGATGGATGTCCAGACGCGTAGCCTAGCGGCTCCTCGTCCAGCGGTCGCGTAGCCACGGCCTTATTTTTATTGGTGGCCAGGCGGGCCACCAACCCGACAGTTTCAGGTGGCCTGACGCCGTTTCAGGTGGCCATTGGCACCCGGGCCACCGTTAAAGTCGAGCCCTGCTACTGTGACTACAGTGTACAGACTGTAGCGTAGACTCTATTACTATTAGTTAGAGTCTACAGTCCAGAGTATAGACAGTAAGTCACTAAGTCAGTACACTGTACAGAACACGGCCCAAGGCACATGGTTTGCACATGTCACACATTTGCGAAAATTAATTGTGGTCAGCGCTTTACACTCAGTACCACTGTGCAGTGTGTGCAGTACATTATTATTATACACTGCACAGTTTATATGTATGTACTGTCTGAGGCAGTAGCAGCGGGGTCAAGTCGTCCGCCCCCACAATGCTCACACTACAGTACAAGCTACAGCACACACATGTATATAACAACATGGTGTCTAACTCACTGCTGAGCTTTTCCTGGCTAAGTTACTGTGTTTATAATCAGCTCCAACTCTGGTGTTACTGCCCGGAGATGACGCCACATTCCAAGTATTCTTGGAATCACTGATGACTACTTTATAAGAAGCTAAGTCCACCATTTTTGACAATCCAATTTCGACCACCAAAATTCACTCAAATCACTGAAATTCGTTGATACAAAATGATCGCTCAAACGTTACACAAGCTGAGACAGGCATCCATGGGCAACCGTTGGCAGCAGCGCTGATTGGCTGCAGAAAGTTTAATTATTACTATTAGGCAGATAGGCCAATCAGCACTACAACCGACTGTTGCCCATGCCTGTCTCGGCTTGTGTACCATTCGAGCGGTCATTGGCGAGTTAGACAGCGTGGTGTTATATATATACATGTGTGTGATGTAGCATGATTGTGGGGGGGAGGGGCAGACTTGCCCCTGCTTAAATTATGAAATAGTTGTAAAATAATGAATTGAAGATTGAAATTGTGAATTGAACTATTAAATGGATAATTTAATCATGAAATCTTTTAACTTCTTTATTTATGTCATTCTGTATTGGAATTCTCTCCCTCCGTCTTTATTAAATTTCAAATTTGTGGCTTTTTCCACTGCGATCCTCGGTGTTGATCTGTCGATTTGACCAACTTGTCTCTCCCTCTTCGTTATAGTCCCTTGGACTTTTGAAGACTATTATTAATGAGGTTAATTGAACAAATGAACAAACAACCAAAGAGTGATAGGTTGATGTTCAACATGTTAGGCATAATGCCTTTACTGTAAAATTGAGTTGTTTTATTATCACCGGTTTTTATCAATAATTCAGATTAACCAATAAAGAAAATTAAGAAATCTGTCGATGAAGTTAGTATTAAATAGTGGAATCCCCCTCTTACTCTGAATTCACAGGATTCTAGCTCCTATCTACGTTGACTACAGATATTTTATATACATTTCACCCTTGAGTTAACGGACCCTGGTTTAGCGGACATCGGAATTTCGGAAGCAATGAACAATAAATATGCTGCTTTGTATTTATTGTCTGCGCTGGAAATAACACCCAGATCTACAATCATGGTATTGGAAGGGCCAGTGGAGCTGTGCCTTTGACAATTTGTTCTGAAGCCTCCTCTATACGATCATGACAAAACAAACATCTATGTATTCATGTATCTATCACAAAAGGTAATTAAAATTACTCTACTGTACCCTTTATAATCATTTACAATGTTTAATATGTTTATTGTGTGTATGGTATTGTGTTATGTATGTATAATGGGCTTTATAAGAAAATAAAACCCACAAATAACGTTCCTAGCATACCATATTCGGTAATAACAGGCTATCGGCATTACCAGACACCCCAAGCCCCCTATTGGTTTGTTAAATCGAGGGTGAAGTGTATGTTATTACTATATTTACTTATTAAACCACGATTTTAAGAAACGTTTGCGACGAAACTCTATCAATCGGATTAAAATATTCCCACCAATAGTGCTGTGACCAACATAGTCTACGTTATCTGTTTTCCGTGGGATTGCATCTTTCCTCGTTGTTTCGGTTAGTTGAAGATTGATATATTTGCCTGTAAAACAGATCAGACGGTTTACATTGTGAAAGGTAACACTAATTTCACAACGGTGACACTAATTAGGTGGTCAAGTGAAATTACTAGTAAGTATTGAAATGAAGAAACTGAAATCTTTGAAGTACCAAATGTAGCACCTATGATCCCTATGTAATAATGAAACGTGGGAGTGCATCTGTTGTGAGTTCATTTTAAAAATTGAGGGAAGCAGAAGAATAAGGAGACGGAAGGGAAGAAAAAGAAGTACAATTCATATAATAGTCACTACTACTCGTTGTCTGCTAATAAAGTAGGTGATACAGTGTAGCAGTAGCAGTAGCACTAGTAGCAGCAGCAGTAGCATGTAGTAGGTAGTAGTAGTGGTAGCAGCAGTAGCAGTAGCACTAGTATTAGCAGCAGAAGCACGTACTAGGTAGTAGTAGTAGTAGTAGTAGTAGTACTGTAGTGGTGGTGGTGGTGGTGGTGGTGGTGGTTTGTGGTTTGTGGTTTGTGGTTTGTGGTTTGTAGTTTGTAGTTTGTTGTTGTTGTTGTTGTTGTTGTTGTATGAACTTTATTGCATAGTGCACTTACTTGATGCACTAAGCATCTGATATTTGTTATCACTTCACACCACAGGTGACATTGGCCTCCATAGAAGGAGACACGTTACAATAGGTGCATACCAACAGCGGTTGCCAGTCGTGGCTGCCACCATAAACTTAAAGGCTAGTGATATATGAGGTTGGATGAGACTGCACAGATGTCGGTGACGCGGGTTGTACGCACCATTCCATCATACCTCGCCGCGGGATTTCAGACTGACTACGAGAAACTTCTGAGTAGATTTGCAGTGACAGGAAGCGTGAGATACGAGGAATTTGCAAAGATATGGAAGGAAATGAGATTTCCGTTGATTTTCTGGTAAGAAGGCATATTTTTATGTTGATATTCCGAATGTTCTAAATTTCTCTCACCTAGCTACTACTGTTGTTAAGGCATGCTATACAATAGAAGCAATCTTCAATTATATAACTGGAAATAGAATCTAGTTGATTTCTTTTACATATATTCTGGAACATAACCCACCTTGTATTTTGTATTGTTGGCCTCATGATTGTATATAATATGTAACCGTTATGAACATGAGGTGAAGAAACATTATCAATGTATATGTCTACCTTTTCGTGCATTAATGTGTGCATGCTTGGGTTCTTGTTCATCTATAAAACATGAACTTCTATTGACTGTTGAAATCGCTATTATTATCTATTTATTTGTTGTCTCTTATTATTTATTGTCATTGTTTAGAGCAATAGGCTTTTATGCTCATTGGTGGAAAACCACAGCAAATAAACTAGTAGATTAGCAGCACTAGTTTATCTATTAGCCTAATACTTTTTAAAATTGGATATTTTCAGTGGTAGATCAAGTCAAAAGGAGCTCTGCTTGGTATGTACAAAGGGCAGTGTAGTAACAGAGTATGTTGGTGTGCATTGAATTGTGTATATGTTTACCTATCATTACTAGATATGCAACAGCTCAAAAAATATTGCAAGATGGGTAAATTTTGTTGCTGCATTCTACTTCACATACCAAGTTATTATCAGGCAGTAGAGACAAATGTTGCTAGTTCTTGTAAAGCAAATTTCTGGTGTATTTGTTAGGATAAACGTATGTAGCTAGTGCATGTAAAATCAGCTCAATACCTTCACACAGAAATTATCTCTGTATCTAGTCAGGGGCTAATCTAGCTGCTTAATATGGGCACCCATGGCAAACATAGCGAGCATAAAAAAATTATATATATATACTTGTCTATCACATTAAATTGGGCGTTTGGTCGACACTTTTTATTCAGATAATAGATTATAGATCTTATATGAGCGTTTTATTATAAAACAGTGCCTACATAACGATAGAAACATGGAGGTCTGCGTCAGAGCTTTGCTAATTTGGGTATTTTATGAATTTTGTAATTTGGGCGTTTTGCTAGGAGCCAGGAGTCGTAATTTGGGAGCCGATATTCGGTATGAAAAATGGCTTGGATTAGGCCCTGCTAGTTACCTAGTTAGCAAAGCTAATTTGTGGAATCCCATAAATTTATTCCAATTAGCAATCGAGAATTGATTGCACGACATGCCTTCACAAATAATTGGCGAGATCTCTGATCTATATATCTATATATACATATATATGTTTTAGTGACTTGTGTTGCAGTTTGCATCAGAATGCCTGAGTGCTGCACAAAAGCTCATGCAGCCTTTGTACACACTGCAAGCTAGAGTTGGAGCCCTGTACTTACTATATGGCCTCTATTTCATACAACCCTTAGACCCAAGAGAAAGGGTAAGATGATTATATCTAAATTATCTAACGTAATCTATTTAAGACTCACTGTACTTCATTTTTTCAGAGTTTCTAAATACCAGTAGCATATATCAAGCGTGTTATCGTTTAAGCATATTCGAGTGAGGATTTCACATGTTTTTTTCCATCCGTTTTCATGTTTTCTGGACTGTTCTAATACTTACCATTACTCCTTGCATAACACTAAGTGTATATAGTAAGGCTAATGCAGCTCCTTCTCAAGCTCATAATAAATTATATACTAAAGTAATCAGTAATGTTTACGCTGAGAACTGACACTAAATTTGTCTACATTTATCAATTTCATAATTTAATTATTAGAAAGATGATAATTTTAAGCATATTTTCGCAAATTTGCAGATCGATGTGTAAAACACAGTATGAACAAAGTATAGTTTGTGTCACAGTATGAGATTCGATGTGCTGTTTTGTATACTTTCTTGATACTCATAAGTATCCTAATAAACTCTTGATCATCCTGAACATTTAGGGAATTGGGTGGGTAGGGAGGAGTGCCATTAGATTAGATTAGAAATTTAATATGTCAGATATAGCAGACATTTTATAAGACGTGTCCTTAACACGACAATTTCCTTAATTGTATATTTCCAGGTTAGAGTAACTTTACAGCAGTGGAAGGAACTAATTGAACTGGAAAGTATATTAGTCGAACAGCAACACCATGACGCTAGATTTTGCCTACTTAAAATGAAAATTGACGAAGCCTTTCTATTTGTTGCAACTACAACAGAGGTACCAGTAAAAAAACCTAACCTGCTATACTCTTTTTCACCATATACTATTGACAATTAACCCCTCATTGTTGGTTTATAATCATTATGAGAGGCTAAGTGTACCTGAAAAATTGGAGCTGTTTTTAAAGTACGGTAATTTTTAAACATTTAATCGTCCTGATAAAAATTGTTATTTTGGTAATGGATGGTTGCCAGTTTAGATGTCTATATAAAATTTAAGTGGCACGCACTCAGAGTTAATACAATGAACTTAATCTTTTATATGTACATTTCAGATGGGGCCTCTTTCATTAAAGGTCAACACTGAGCTGGATGGAATTGCAGAGGATCTCAAGGCTCAGAAGAGTGAACTTACAGAGCTAACTCAAACGGACAGTTTTGAGGTACGAGACTTTTAATTAATTGAACTCTTACTGGCACGTAATAAGCCACGATGTAATTTGAGATCATGTAACAACACTATTATAGAAACCCTGATTGTTCTTCTCCACATAATTTGAACATCAATCTAAGAAAATTATACCAGGGGTCGCCCTAGGCCCTTAATGCACGTAGGGCTTGATATGCATTCAGAGCTGAAGCTAATTTGCAAAATTTCTATAAATCCTCTGACATATTAGTTGCCTAATCGGACGTGCTTCAATTTCCAGTTGTGTTTACTTTTGACAGTCAACACAGTCATGCTGTATTTTCACAGCTTGATATGTACATCTCCGAACTGATCGAGTTTATCTGTGCATTGGGGTCGCTTAAGACATGCCTAATTGACTCCAAATAGCAATTGGGGATAAATTTTTTGATTGCCCAACATCCCTTCTGAAATTCCTGTGGAGAACTCTGTAATGCTATCTGTAACTAGTTGAAATACTCGAGATTTTAGACGTACGACTTCCTTTGTGTATATCTGCACATAACTCGGTAATTCGGTAAATATTATTTCTTGAAGAAACCAAATAATCGATCAATGAAATATTTTGAGACTGATGAATATCTTAAATAAATGTTTATTTATTTCAGTTTCAACATAAGGAATGAAACATAAACGATATTATTTTCCAGTCACCACCCATGCCCCATCCTTGCTCAAACCAGGTCGCACCCGCCCCTACCTATGCTTACCAGTAAACCACAAGGCTATATAAGTGAGAGAGCATTGTCTTTCGAGATGAAGAAAAAGTTGGAAGAAGCTGTTGAACTATTACAACTCGAAACCACTCGCTCATCGATAACTACTCAATGGTAATATTGCCTCGAATATTTTCGCCCAAACTCTAGTAACTGACCTAGTGGAACTAAACCCCATGATGCTAGCCCATGTCTCCTCCACGCCCACTGATGGAGCTACCGGCGCTAGAAGGGTGGATTCGTAGTGCCATCCCAGGCACCCTGTTTAATTTTCTCCGTGATTTCTTTCGTCCTCCCCAGCAACTCGAGGCAATTCACAATCAGTATCAGAGCATGAAGCGTGCCCTCTGCGGCCCGGACGCTTCCGCACCCGACTTCTCTCTGAACGTGGTTCACAAGAATATCGCTGCTGTCATAGGAAGGTTCGTTGATGAACGCGCGCGCTGCAAACTCATGTTGCATGAATGTTGATCTGTTGAGCACGAGGATGAACGTGTGCGTAATCTGTTGTTGAAAGAAGACACACTACGAGATTAGAGATTATGAGAAATGTAGTGGAATGCACGTTAGTATTTACATACTTGTAGATTTAATAAGTGTACTAGTATTGTTACTCCCCATCATACCATGATTGTATAATCTCTAGTCAAATCAAGTTCAAATAAAATCCAATAAAATCATTTCAGATTATTTACCCATGATTATACTTAAGTATCACCAGTTTTTTTTATGTAAAATATATCATGTAGGTGTAGATTAAATTCTTTAATTGCACATGCATGACATCAGTTGTTGAGTCTTATTAATGTTCATTAGATTCTCTGCCCTTTTATAGGACAGTAGCAGAACGTGCAACAGACAGGAAAAGGACATACAGAAGGGTAAGTTGAATATAACAGTGAACCTTTAATATTTGTCTATAAATTTGGTCGCATTAAGGTTGGTGAGTGTGAGTCGCACAGAACTTTTGGGTCATACTGATACTGACCTATTGGTTTCCACACTATGATAATATTCCTAATTAAATTATTTACTATAGCATTACCTTTTATCGTGCGCAGCTGAAACTCCCGCATGTGCTCTCGCACACAGTCAAAACTTTTGGACGTACTATCGTGCGCAGGTGAAACTCTTGCATGTGCTATCGCACACACTCGAAAATTTCGCGCGTGCTATCGTGTGCGGTCGAAATATTTGTCGCCATGCTCATGGCAATCGATGACGTCCGTTTCAGCATCACGTCGTTAGACCACTGGCTGTCGGCGCTGCCTGTTACCCTGGTACAGCTAGACCTGTCACAGTGTGGTAGTGTGTCGAGCGTGCTGGCGCTGATGCACAGGGCTGCCTCGCAACAGAGAGCCGCGTTCCTGACAAGTCTACAGAAGCAGTTGACCACAATATTAGGTGATCTATAATTATTTTTGCACGAAAAAGTTAAATCCCAGATACTGCACGACATCTCGTGAAAATTGCTATCTACGTTATGTTTTCATTCATCGTTAAGTGAATGATATCGTGATGGATTTATGATACTGACTATTGCTCGTTGATAATGCTGACTCGTTATTACGTTGCTTTTTGGTTATCGCTGATGTACTCTTTAAACAGGTATGTTACCGGGAATGAGTCACGAGCAACAGAAAACAACTCTGCAGCTACTCTATTTTGCAAAGACTTTACGGAAGACGCATTTCCACGTACTGGTAAATTGGGTGCGATCTGAAGCCACGGACATGACCCTGGTGAAGTATCTACTGTCCCTGCTCAATGGAAGGTACAACATATTATCTCACAGCAGGATTTCTGTGTAGCGTGCACGCATGTAGAACTCTTAAACTAGGGCTCCGTTCACAACCATACTTAGCCGGTGTGCCTGCAATGAAGCTAATGTATCTTATTTAATACCGAATCCTTGCTTTGAATGTATAAACACCTTTTTCTTTACCCACACTAAAAAATCTGTGTGTAAGGGGCAATGCGTGGATATTAGATGGGTTCATACTTGATAGGTTAGCAAAGCAGCTGACGTCAGGAGAAGTGTGGACAGAGCCTTCCGCTTATATCAGCTACACGATCTCTCTACTCGTTGGAGGCAGCGTGCCAAAGATGGCTGAACAGCAGTTTCCAACAATGGCACTACTGTCGCCGCATGTTTATGCACCGGAAATAGATGGTGGCAGTCTAGACGGGTGGCCCCGGCAGAAAGACGTCGTCTTGGTAACGTTCTTGTGTTCATTGACGATTACGGTATTGTACGTTCATCATTATAAATGGCAGTAGCCCACACATTTTTAATGTTTTAATTACTTTAGCGTTTTATTGTTAATTACTTCTTTTCGTTTGTAGGCCGTGCATGATAGCATACATCTTCTACCAAACTCGCAGCAAGTCGAAGATTTGTACTTTGGCCATGTAGAACAAATTCTGGTACGTATCACTAGTTGTTACTAGTTACGTGGCTTAATTAGTGGTAGGCGATTGCCAAGGCGCCTTGTAGACATGTGATCGAAAATACAGCAAGAATGCGTGACTTGTTTCACAGACGCGTCGTCACGGATTTTCTCACGATAGATTCCCGCTCAGTCTTCAAGTTGCAGTCCGACCTCTCCCTTAAGCTGTGGACACACTAGCCGATTTTTCATGCGATTGAGCCGCCCGGCTGAATGATGATGATAGTCACATGATTGAAAATGGCACCGTTTGATTGGCTGATGAATTGTACATTCGGGCGCGCGTAGTAGAGCATTGTATAGTATTGCAACTCAAATAATTATCAAACATGTTTGATTCGAGCGACTCAGCTGGCCGACTCGAAAATCGACTGCGACTCACTGGACACACTAGGCGATTTCAGCCGGGCGGCTCGACCGCATGAAAAATCGCCTAGTGTGTCCACCCCTTTAACGCCGGCTCCCCAACTCTCCCCCCCTCTCCGAGAACGGGGAACGAAACCCTCACGTACGTAACCTCTCTGAGAACCGAAGCGAACGAGTGAACCAATTTCACGCGCTTCAGGTCGGAGGCAAATCGGCACCGGTGCTGTCATTTCTCGCCGCGATGCTGCTGGCTGCGTTGAGACCGGAGCGTGCAGACGTCGCCCGCAGGCGTCCCGACTGGGCGGAGCTGTGTTACCACATAATGCTGTCGCTGGTTGCGGCGCAGACGACGACGACGGGCGCGCTGGAATGTGCGTGGGATACGTGCGTCCAGTTCTGCAAGGCGTACCGGATGGGAGGCACCATCTTGGACTCGATCGCGGCCGGAATCCAAGGTTAGCGTGAAGGTCGCACCGTGGTCGAGCGAGCGATTTCTGTCGCGTTATTTCAAGGGCGAGATTGTAGCGTTCACGCGACAAGGTCATCGCATCTCAGGCGCGACTTCGTAATTATCGTTATGCTCTCAATGTGTTTATTTTAAAGGCTTTCATTAGATTGATTGAGATTAATTCCTACGACTCTGGATTATAATAAGTATAATAATAGTAATGGTAATTTCCTATCATCCCAAACTCACTTCCTCGCGCTCTTCCTATTCCGTAGCGGGAAGTGCGGAGACGGGAACACTGGTGACGTTGGCGACGAAGCTAATGCGGCAGGCGTGTGACAGTCGAGACAGCATCCAGCAACCGATGAGCGCCATACGCACGGCCGCCGAGGTGAGTGACAGTCGATGTGTGATGCGGTACCTACTCGCGCGCGGTGACGGTCACACACGCACGTGACACCCTCCGAAAGTCAAGTTAAACTGGTCTTTTTTTTCTCAGATTATCACATTTTTCCCTAATTAAGCAGCGTATCCCCCAGTCCTGGACTGGTAAATTTTTTGAATAGGACTGAATAATCTTTGTGGAGTTTGCTATGGATTATATAGTAGAATTAAAAACGTTTAGATTTATGATCGGCTGGGATTACAGACCTATTATCAACATTACATTTACCAGTCTTTTTCCCTATCTTGCAGTCGCAGTTATCTGAGGAAGATGTGAAGACAGTTCAGTGGTGGGCAGACTTCATGTACGAGCTTACGTTACACTGTCAGCAGCAGCAACAGTGAGAACATTTACTACGAGTGAAAAAAAGGATTGCTCTACAGAAACGAAATCGTGTGCTCGTAAATAATGTATAAAAGAATTTTGTATTCACATCATCATGGCAAGTTTTTGTACAGTGTATAAAAATGGAGAATGACTTACACGATCATCAAACAGACGAGCATTCTACGACCGATGGAAGTGAGTCCACCACAATAGACGTTTGTACCCAATACAATCACAAGATAATCTTTTCCTCACGCTAGTTGCACGCGACTGCCGCTTGTACATGATTGCAGATATCTGAACCGTCAGTGCTCACTCGGTACGTGCTGAATGACGTTCGGGCAGCGTTTGAGCAATTAAGTTCCTCCTCCTCCTCGCCTACGCAGTTTCGCGCGACAAGCGGCATCCACCGGGCGCGTCAGTCTCGGTTCTCGTCGCTTGCCGGCGGTTGGCCGCTGTCGTCCTCGCCTTGCGGTGCGACGATCACGCACACCGGTATGTCGCAGGCCGTCAGCGCACTCACGAGCCGCGCAACGCCGAGGCGCGCGTCGGCCGTGGGGAAGAGGCGCCGCGCGTAGTAGTCGAGCTGCTGCCGGGTGGCGTCGGCCTCCCGCAGCGCCGACTCTAACTCGCCGACGCCGACGTCCCTGCAGGAGCGAGCGCAAGATTAGACGCCGCGCGAGGTGGGGAGGCGTGGCGGGCGGGAGGGGGTTGTACGAGTGGTGGGGAGGAGGGGTGGAGGGAGGTAGGTACGAGCGGTGGGGAGGAGTGGTGGAGGGAGGTAGGTACGAGTGTACAAAATGCATTTATGCACCACTGTAATTACGTGTGGCTTTATTAGATTGCTATCATTTTGTTTCATATTTAGGATGAACCGTTGATGTCAGAAGAGGATGAAGTAATAGATGAATATGAAGACGAGCGTGTAAGTGTTTTCTGGGCGTCAGTGATCTGACATAGAATATTGGTCAGAAAACTTATCCTCAGTGCAAAAATTGAGTTGAGAGGGTGGCAAAGCAAATGGACAATTAAGTTCCATGAGAGCTATAGTGTGTCATCTCTGTGACTTTGACAGAAGAGAGACCTAGCATTTTCAGTCTTCAGTAAAAGGTGTATGAACTGTAATTTCTACTTTTACGCAAGGCTAGCTGCATGCATGGTGAGTTTGTACCCTAAAGAGGAGTATTTGCACTTATAATAGATGAGCATGATGTCATTTCTAATGTAGTGTGTACTTACATGAGTTGTGATTGCGTAAAAGGTGTAATTTCAATGTCACGCGATTGCAAAAACATAAAACAAACGCAAAGGAATTTTGATATTTTATGCAGCTGGCTTGAACTGCCTGCCCGGCAGCAGCTCACAGAAGCGTACTGAAGTTGGCTTTTCCAGGCAACAAATCTGTTCAAGATTATTATGAACATGCGTTAAAAGCATACTCACTTTACAAGCGAGTGTACACACAGCCAACTACATCTTTGTAGTGGAAGTAGAAATTGCCATCAAAATAACATTGTTGAGTCTCGGATTAGAAGCTATCGAAACGTGATGATTCCTGTTTTATTTCCACGCAGGTACCCAGATCGTCTACAGCTGATAAACGAATGGCGATAAAGAAGAAAGCTATGAATCTGGTTCCAACAGCTCCTAAAGACAGAAGACACCGGCAAGCTAAAGCTACGTCTTCGCCGCAACGAAATGCAAAGAGAGCGACAAGACCCAGATTGAAACCGACAGAATGTATGTGTGGTGTGCGACCATGTTACATTGAAGTTCCAACTGCATATACGCCCGATTTTCTTATATTACGTTTAGTGCTTTAGAGATAATTTTCAAATGTTGAATGGTTATGTTTAAATGTGCATGTTTCAATATGCTTGGGCGTGTACGGAGCTGTAACTAGAAGTTACATGATATGTGGTTGCAATATCTAGTGAGGGAAGCCAGCTAGAAAGAAATGGTGCAGGTTCGTGAAGGAAAATTTCAGCATAGCACCACTGTCAGAGTGATTTTTAAGCAGATGCCTGTCGCAGTGTACCTCGTTGGAGTTTTAATGCATGTGTGAATCCAGACCAGTGAATTTATAATAATAAATGCTGTTTTTCTCTGTTTCATGTACGCTTTAGTGCCGACTGAAGAAGAAATGGAAGGAAAGACAACTCTGAGTATGCCGACTTTCCACGTTGAGACGGAGTGTAAGAAGCGTGGAAGAAAAAGTGCAAAGGCAAAGGCATCTAGCAGAATAGGGTCGCCGAAGAAAGATAAATCTAGCGTGAAGCCTATATCTGAAAACGTGAAGAGTCACAGGGGAAAGGAAGATGCTTCTGCATCGAGCCTTGCCACGTCCCCTACCGTGGAGCCGAATCCTCCGAAACGAAGAAGGAAAGGAAAACAGCCTGTACTTCATGCTAGTGAACTGTTAGTGAAACGTGAAAAGCCAGCAAAAAAGTCCAAGCCCACCAAAAAAACGAAGGCATCGTGCAAATAGACTAATTCATTAAATACTCAAAAGTCACTTGTTTTTCTCCATAATATTATTATTAAAGCTGTTCAATAAGATGTTGAATTGATGTATGCTTAGTGGCATTTGATACATACGAATATTATTTTTGCAGTATATAATATATAAGCAATTTTGCCTATTTTGACATATTTTATGTAATAGTAAAGTGATATCATGTGATGTTCAATTCTGTTGTTTTTTTTCATCTACTGTCTGCAGTTATATTATATATATCCCTATTATCTACTCCTGATATATATATACCATTACATATCTTACACATATTCTATTAAATATCTCACTTAACTGTACTGGGATTAAAATTGTAGCTATATTGATACAATAGGTATGAAGAGCTGGAATATGGATATGATAACAGTAGGGTCTGTGTATCATATGTTGCACTGCCTATACAAACTATTAATGTTTCCTTTGTGCAAAATATTTTTATTTGGCAATTTCTGATAGGAAAGGAAATTTATATCACGTTAATTCTCAACCCATCTTAAAATTGTACCGCCGACGCCGTAGATTACATTAGACCATAGCTAGCGCATAAACGTCTATCTATCATCTCTGCCTGTTTGCACCACAGAAATGTACAGACCATAGAAATAATATATTGGTTAGACCAGTGTCTCTATATAAATATTATTTCTATAGTACAGGCTGACTAGCCGTGGTTTCTGTGGTTTACAGTTTACAGTATGACATCCTGTCGCCATCTATTGGAACAAAATTGGGTGAACCGCGAGCGCATCGGGTAAGCCAGCTAAATTAGCGTATCCGATTTATGAATACGCCACAGACCCACATGTGCCTTGTGAAATACAACAGAGGGTGCCAAGATACAAGATACAACTTACAAGATACCGACGTTCCACACTGGGACTGAAATGTCATCAAAGTATACCATATCAAAATAGTATGTAAAGCTGTATTACTACTACTAGGCCAAAAGGCAGATAATTTATTTTATAAGAAGGACAAGTTCATACCTGTTGCTGATAATTCTCACAATGTGATTATCACAATTTAAAGCATGTCTATTTTATATTTAGATAATACAAGTTACAACATCTGAAAAAGACTAAGAGTAAGTGACAAGTGTGAATCTAAGTAGATGTACGTGTAGTACTAGTAAAGCTCATAGTCATAGGGTCTATGTCCCCCAGGGTACTGCCGGAACGTACCCTGGGTACGATGACGATAGCTCAAGATAGTCTAGTACTGCTCATTACGTAGTTTCATTACTGAATTATATTGATTGTTACACACATATTTGACTATACTGCCAAGCAATATCACCAAGTAAAGCACGTGCTTCTAGGTATAGGAAGATATGGCAAAGGTCTCAAAGAAAACCAAGGCGAAGAAGAAAGATTTTCAAAAGGTCAAGTTAAAACTTGGGAAAAAGCTGCCAAAGTCACAGAATGATACTACAACGTCGTTTAAGTCGCGTGCTATTCAACTCAAGGATCAGCTGAAACAGTCCAAGGATGAACCACAGACACATAGGAAGCAAAACATCACTGTAAGATTTACACAAGACCTACATGCATATTATATTTGCATAATGGGAAATAAATAAGAAAAAAATCAATTTGAAATGCAACTTTTGATAACCAAGATCATAATGCGCATATTAGTTTATATAGCAGATGTGAGTCACTCTAGTTTTAATTGTGTACTATCACGTCACTGCAGATATGTACAGCAATCTTGACTATGTTGATGATTACGATATTGCATCCGATGTTTGTTTGCGAATGTAGTATATTTCGTAAGGCCCACATGACCTTGCCAGTATGTCCTATTTTGGTAAAGTGTGGGAATATAATGCGACAGAACGTGACAGTTTAGACTTCTGTAATTATTGTTTTTTTTTTCTCTTTCTCTGTGTGTGCATTTCTATGTGCATGTATGTGTGTGTTTGTGTGTGGCTGCGTGCATGATCGTGTGCGTGCCTGCGCATGCGTTCCTGTGTCTGCGTGCGTGCGTGTGTCCTGCGTGTCTGCGTGTGTGTGAGTGTAGGAGCTACTAGGTCAGCTGCAGCACTACAGCCCCACGGTTCGTCTCGCCGCACTCACCGGCCTCAAGCAGCTGCTCACCGACCACCCGCAGCTGATCCGTGCCAACCTCTCCACGCTGCTCGACCGCACCGCCGAGTCGTTCGTCGACCGCGACCCGGCTGTGAGGCGTGCCGCCGCCGCGGCGACGCGCCTTGTGCTGTCGTGCGTCACCGCCCGCCAGGTGGCGCCGTTCGTCGCGGCGGCGGGCGCGCGGCTCCGCTGCGCGATGTCGCACGTCGACGCGGCCGTGCGCGCCGACTCGCTCGCGCCGCTCGACGTCTACCTCGAGTTCTTGCCGCGCACGCTCGCCGCCGCCTCGCCACGCATCCTCCGCGACTTCCTCGAGCTGATCTCACGGCGGCGCGACGAGAAGGACGGCGGGGTCGCGGGGTCGCGGCGCGCGCTCACGGTCGATCCTGCGAGTCGGCTGTCGACGCAGCGTTGGCGCGTGAGCGTTCTGCGGCGCATGAGCGTGTTTCTGCGCGCGTACCACGGGAAGGAGGCAACGACAGCGACGGAGCGAGGGCGGGAACGCGGCGGGGACGGCGGGTCGCGCGCCATGTTCCTGTATGGCGGCGCGCATGCCTTCACGGCGGAGAGCTCGACTTGCAAGCTCAGGTAACGTTGACGTTTCTCGAAATCGCCCCTCTTCCCCTGTATTCAGCGGAAACCTGTTTTGCACCTTTGTTTTTTATAAATGAATAGAAACGACCACGGTCCTCTGGTGCCAGAAGTAGATGGATACCGAACCTGAAATGTTTCTTGTAATTTTCCTCGCGTTGCTATCTTAACTTTTCCGTACCGTAGTGTAGCGCGATTGATCCTTTGCGTTTTCGTCATCCAGGGACGTCAGAAACCACAAACACAGGAATGCGGTTTCGGACGCCAAGGAGGCGTCGCTTGACGGTCCGATGCAGCTGACGGCATTCGTGGACACGCTGATGCCGCTGCTGCTCGACTTGTGGGTCGAGTCGAAATCGAAGCAGTCCGGCGAACATCTACCCGGTACGAAACTAGCGCTCTCCTTCCAGCTGTCTACTATCGTTAGTGTCCGCGTTGTGGCCGTGTCTGTATTCCTATTGCGATTCAGTTAGTGCGAATGGTTAGGTCGCCTAAGATGCAGATACGCGCACGTTGGTTCGTCGATGTTGTCTTGATGTAGAGATTTGCTTATTCAGAGAGCGTCCTATCCGAGGAAGCGGCTACGGTCGTCGAAATGATCTTTGAAGTGATTTTGCTGCTGCTGCAGTACATCGAGAGGGCGTCGCGGGATTCCGACGAAATAAGCGTGAGCAAGAAACGTTTCATTTTTGCGCATAGTACATGATTCGCACACCTATGCACTCCCGTGCTACGTAGTACATAGTTGGCTATACTCGTACATCTTAACTTAGATTTATGCTGGCAGTGCGAAGCATATTAACATCGGGGCTACGACAGTATGTTTATGTGTTTAGAAGTCCGGAGTGATTCTATGTGTATTTTAATGGACAGGTAACCTGGCTAGAGGAGAAGTACGAGAAAGAATTGACTCAACACTTCTTTACAAATTTCCCGTACACGTTGACCGATACCCCAGTTGGCACTGGCAAGAAAAGTAAAGTGCGGCCAAACCGGGTTCAGAAGGTATGCATCGCCGTTTCCACGCAACAGAAGTGCAGTCGAATGAACAACGTAACGTTACGTAATTCGACGACGCTTTAATGTAAAAATTGCCACCTGGCGGTGAGAGCAAGACAGCGCAGGCTTATTTTAACACTGTGTTATCACTCGCGCCAGCATCTGCATCTCCGTCTCTCTCTCTCTCTTGGGCGCAGGTGCGAGCTCTCAACGTGAACATCGCCGTGGCGACGGCCCTCGCGACCATCCTCGGACGAGTCGAGCGACCGAGCGTGGAGCAGCAGGACCTGCTGAGGAAGGCTGAGCAGTATGCGGCGGAGGTCGTCGAGGCAACAGGAACGCGCACGGCGACAGACCTCCGCGAGATGCTCGCGCTCGTCGCGAAGCTGCTGGCGGCTCGCTCGACTCGAAACGGCGGTAAGTCTCGCGCGGGGTCGAGAGACGGCGTCCGAGTCTCGATCCCCACCCCGATTCCGAGCGTCACACCAACTTCGTTATCCCTGTTGTTCGCCGCGAGTCCTCCGCGACGTGGACTCTTTTCTACAGTGTCGTTTCGACAGGTTTCGTCGGCGAAGCGTCCGAGGCGGCCTACAAGGCGTTCGCTTGTTGTCACCCGTCGTCTGCTCAGAAGCAGCGTCTGCTGGAGATGTTCTGCAATGTTGCTCTCGAAACGCCACCTGGCGGCAGGTATTTTCGTAATTTTCGTTTGTTCTCGCGTGCACACGGTCAAAACTTTGCACATACTATCGTGCGCAGCTGAAACTCTAGCATGTGCTCAAATTTTGCACATACTATCAAGAGCGTATAAAGGAAAGCGTGCAACGGTGAAATGCTGAAACCATGTTGCAGTATTAGTCGAATTAATAAACTTTCCTCGTTTTATTTTGACGATTCTTTGCAGTTATATTGATCAGCTGTCCTACCTTGTTAATATAAAACAAACCGCATGTTCCTACGATGCCCCTACGCTGAGATAATGAGCGGTGGAAATCTGGTATTTTCGACCGAAAACCGACGAGATACCTGCTGGCTGCGACTCTCTCTCGCTTTGTGGCCAGTGTGTTGCTTCCGGTCGCTGCTGGTAGCGCTGACTCATTACGTTATTACTACGGAGTTTACTACATCCAGCGAGAGGTGGACACAGGTGGGGGTCATCACTATGGCAATCAATAACAGACATCATTCATTCCATTTGTCAATCATTGACGGATTCCCGAAGTTATCTCAAAGCGAGAGAGAGTAGCAGCCAGCCGGTATCTCGAGTCAGTCGGATTCGACTAATACTGCAACACGGTTTCAGCATTTCACTGTTGTACGCTCTCCTTCTTTATACTATCGTGCGCAGCTGAAACTCTTGCATGTGCTCTAGCACACGGTCAAAACTTTTGCACATACTATCGTGCGCAGCTGAAACTCTTGCATGTGCTATCGCACACACTCGAAAATTTCGCGCGTGCTATCGTGTGCGGTCGAAATATTTGTCGCCATGCTCATGGCAATCGATGACGTCCGTTTCAGCATCACATCGTTAGACCACTGGCTGTCGGCGCTGCCTGTTACCCTGGTACAGCTAGACCTGTCACAGTGTGGTAGTGTGTCGAGCGTGCTGGCGCTGATGCACAGGGCTGCCTCGCAACAGAGAGCCGCGTTCCTGACAAGTCTACAGAAGCAGTTGACCACAATATTAGGTGATCTATAATTATTTTTGCACGAAAAAGTTAAATCCCAGATACTGCACGACATCTCGTGAAAATTCCTATCTACGTTATGTTTTCATTCATCGTTAAGTGAATGATATTGTGATGGATTTATGATACTGACTATTGCTCGTTGATTACGCTGACTCGTTATTACGTTGCTTTTTGGTTATCGCTGATGTACTCTTTAAACAGGTATGTTACCGGGAATGAGTCACGAGCAACAGAAAACAACTCTGCAGCTACTCTATTTTGCAAAGACTTTACGGAAGACGCATTTCCACGTACTGGTAAATTGGGTTCGATCTGAAGCCACGGACATGACCCTGGTGAAGTATCTACTGTCCCTGCTCAATGGAAGGTACAACATATTATCTCACAGCAGGATTTCTGTGTAGCGTGCACGCATGTAGAACTCTTAAACTAGGGCTCCGTTCACAACCATACTTAGCCGGTGTGCCTGCAGTGAAGCTAATGTATCTTATTAAATACCGAATCCTTGCTTTGAATGTATAAACACCTTTTTCTTTACCCACACTAAAAAATCTGTGTGTAAGGGGCAATGCGTGGATATTAGATGGGTTCATACTTGATAGGTTAGCAAAGCAGCTGACGTCAGGAGAAGTGTGGACAGAGCCTTCCGCTTATATCAGCTACACGATCTCTCTACTCGTTGGAGGCAGCGTGCCAAAGATGGCTGAACAGCAGTTTCCAACAATGCCACTACTGTCGCCGCATGTTTATGCACCGGAAATAGATGGTGGCAGTCTAGACGGGTGGCCCCGGCAGAAAGACGTCGTCTTGGTAACGTTCTTGTGTTTATTGACGATTACGGTATTGTATGTTCATCATTATAAATGGCAGTAGCCCACACATTTTTAATGTTTTAATTACTTTAGCGTTTTATTGTTAATTACTTCTTTTCGTTTGTAGGCCGTGCATGATAGCATACGTCTTCTACCAAACTCGCAGCAAGTCGAAGATTTGTACCTTGGCCATGTAGAACAAATTCTGGTACGTATCACTAGTTGTTACTAGTTATGTGGCTTAATTAGTGGTAGGCGATTGCCAAGGCGCCTTGTAGACATGTGATCGAAAATACAGCAAGAATGCGTGACTTGTTTCACGGACGCGTCGTCACGGATTTTCTCACGATAGATTCCCGCTCAGTCTTCAAGTTGCAGTCCGACCTCTCCCTTTAGCTGTGGACAAACTAGCCGATTTTTCATGCGATTGAGCCGCCCGGCTGAATGATGATAGTCACATGATTGAAAATGGCACCGTTTGATTGGCT